AGCTGGCCATCACCCGTGAGAGCACCATGCCCTCAACCTTCAGAGGCACAAATTTGAGGGTTGTCAGCTCTGGCCTCCCAGTTAATTCCAGCTTCTGGGTTCAAGCAGAAGGCAAAAGGACCAGCTCTCTGAAATGTTTTGGGCCTGGGTGTATTGGCAGACAGATGCTTTTTTTGCCATTTCACTGAGAAACCAAAATGAAACCTGCAAATCTTAGGAAGAGGTTGAATTTGATCCTTTCAAAGCAGTTTGGCAAAGTGATAGTTTTAGTGGGACTGTATTTTGTGCTGCTTTTTCAAAAGGATCTGGGTAGCTACTGCAGAGCTTCAGGGTGACACAGGTTTGTCCGCCCAAGAAGATGGTTGCTAATCAAACTTACAAAAAGTGACCTGGATATAAGTTAATATAGCAGTGTTTGTACAAGGATGTAGGAAACTGAAATAATGTGAGGTGTGAGCTTTTACCTGTGAGAAAACGACTCTGAAGCTTAGCTTCTGCTTTTTTGAGCTGCCATCAGAGCATTTGAGAAAGGCTAGGTGGGTCTGCACAGTTTATTGTGAGTGGTATAATATTAGCAGCACCATATTTGTATGACTTTTGCACCACAGCAGGAGCTTTACAGAATACCAACCAATTATGTCTCATCCAGTTTGATTCCTTGATTCATCTTTGAGTTGCTTTTTGTAGTTTTGGGCTCTTTTGCACTCAAAATGGGGAGCTGAACTATCAGTTCGGTGCACAAATTGAGTGTAGTTTGCAGATAACCCAACAGAAATCACAGCATTAATAACAAAAATTCTAGCTGATAGACATTTGGTAGTTCTCCTTAAGTAATTTCCGACTTCACCTTGCAGAGATGTTGAATGGCTCAATCTCTCTCCCAAAAGCATAACCCAGGGGTCCCCTGAATCCCCAAAGCAGCAGTGAGTTTGCCAAAAGGTCAGCCAGTATGTCAATCTCCGATATGAAAACAGTGTTCCCTGTTTAGAGTGGGAAGAGCTGAAGACATCCCCTTCCCCCCAGGACCCTCTCCTCCGGTGAGGAAAGTCATGATGCATCACGCATGTGAGCGTTGTATCTCCCTTCTTCTGACAGCTGCAAAACTTAAAAGCGGTGATTTGAGGAGGGGTGATAGATACTATTGGATTGGCCTTCCCCAGCACAGCACTCATCTCTCCTTCCAGTGTGTAGCACACAGCTCGTTACGGTTCCGTGCAGAATGATTTCTCTGCATGGCCAGGTGATGTTTAAGGAGACTAATGAGAGAAATGATACGGCCCAGAACACCGGTGTCAGGAAATATATTGCAAGGTGTCTGTCTCGGGGAAGCTGAAAGCGGGGCTTGTCGTATTATATATTTCAAAGGGGATGTCTGTGTCACCACCAAGTTAGACATGCGCCCTGTCCCACACTGCATTCAAATTAGATTTTTCTTTTTTCAAATAGCAGATTTCTTTCAATTTTCATTGGCTTAATGATAAGCTCTGCGTTGCACGAGGGGCAAAACGCGAGTCCATCGCATCGGCATACCGTTCTTTTGAAGCAGGAACTTGTTTCTGAGGCCATTGTAACATAACTGTGGAAGTGTCAGAGGACAGGAGAGAGGCTATTATGGGCTTCTGCTTTCTGAGAGGAAAATCAAACAAACGTCCTCGATGGAAAAAGGAAGCCAGCAGCTGTATATGATGACCAGAGAATGTTTTTGTGCAGTGACACTGTCAGTACCTCGTCTGCTGTCAAACTGGAAAAAACACCTTTTTTTTTTTTTTTTCCCTCTTTCCTTCCCCTGCTGTCAACCTAAGTGGAGAAAACCCCTGTGAATTTCCATGAGATACCTTTTCCTCATTTCCAGCACTTAACAATCCAATTATATTTGGTGTTATGCTAGTGTTTGCTTCTATTGCCATTGTAAGGTTTTTGAGTCAGAGTGATTTTTCTATCCTGATGGTGCGGAAGAAAAATATGTTTCATTATGACTGGTTATAACCCTGGAAATCTTTTCTCTCGCTTGGGTTGATGACGATTTTTTATGTTGCATTCTATACCGATGCCTAAAGTGAAGTAGAATGAACCATAAGGAAGAGAAGCTTTGCTAAAATATAGCTTCTTCCACTGTGTAGAATTATCTTGAAAAAAGCTTGCATCTTTCTAATTTTATGGTTTTTTTTCCCCACTGTTATTCAAGTTGTTTTTTACAAATGAATGTTCTTTTTGTAAGGATTGTTTATGAAGCCATTGCTCTTAGCAACCCCTGCTCACCTGTGAGCAAATTACATGGCACAGATAAGGCAGCTACTGTTTCTCGATAGGGTGACCTCATAAACAGATTCTGTAGCAAGACAAGCTTTTAAATTCCTAACCAAATATATTATGCGAGTAATAAAAAGAGCTCCTCAAAATGGCCACAGAGGCATTTCAGAGCACATTCCTGGGAATATTCACTTGTGCTAGCATTCATTAAGTATGCTTTCAGCAAAAATTCTCATGAATGAAATTTTATTCACAAGTCATTACGATTATTACTTTACTGTCATAGCCATAACCAGATGCTCTGTATGGGGCCGAGACCTGATTTTGTGTAAGGCTGGAGAAACATCTTATAGGGTCTCCGGAGAGTGTATTGTCTAAATATAAGACCAGACTCAACTAACAGCTCATGGCTGGGAACTGCAAACCCTCAGAGAGCAATGGGTTTGTTTACAAGAAAATTCACAGCTAGAGAAGATGAATGCAGAACTACACCAAGTGTTGTATCATTCCAACTGTATTATGTTACAGTGTTACAATGCCACTGCCTAAGAACCTAATCATACATTCTTATATTATAAAGGTAGTTTAGGTGAGGATGACTGCTCTTGTGGATATAGGGGAATATCTCTACAGATGCAGTTCATTACTATACTGGACTAGTTTATCCATATGCTAACGAACACACTGGAATGGAACTGTTGGGGGAGGGGTGTGTTTCATTATTTAACCAGTGCCCTAACTGAAATATGTGTATGAGGATAATCCCTGAAGTGTAGGCTGTGCCAAAGGGTGGGACTCTCAGTTGTGCAAAGCATGGACTCCCAGAAAGTAAATAAAGCCCTTCCTCGAAAAGTGAAATGAGAGTTTTGGCTATGCACAGCTGAAGTATCCGTGAAGTCTTGTTTCCTCCAGTCTAGAGGAAGATAAAAGAGCAGAGGTATCCTATCACACTGGAGGAGGGTGACTGTGGCAGGGCAGTCGCAACTTTTGGCTTGCTGTATTAGGAATGAGACCAAGGAAGCATGGCCGATTTGGATATGGAAATTGTGTCCAAGTCTCGGCACAAAGAAGTATTTTCAGAGCTGGAGCTCATTCACTGAGCGCAATGTGTATAATCCTGTTTTGTGTGCCTTCACATGGGGAAAAGCACGTATTCTGTGCCTTGGAGGTGATGCAGTTTGACTGGCCAGTTAGTAGCATCCTTCAGCATCCAGTGACTGATGCTGGCTGCTCTCTGGAGCATTGATTCTGGGTGCACCAGGGTGCAGGATGCACTGTGGTCATGGGTACAAAGTGCATGATGTAGGTGTGCAAAATGAAAAGGTTCTGTGGTGTGGATGGAAGGAGCTGCTAAAGAGGCAGTGTGTTCATCCCTTGTATTACTCAAACCCCAAAATGACCGTTCCCCTCTGCATCTAGATCAGTCAGAACAGCTTGCTGGCAGCAGAGCTAAGCACAAGACACTAAGTATTTCTCCTCTTTTATTGTCTCACTGCTCTCTTTTCCCATGTCATGTGGAAAAAAAAATCTGATTAAGTCCTTTGACATTTACAATTAATTAGTCCTTCCTTACTCTTATCTTGTTTGCCTGTCCTTTTTGTTGGATTTTCCTTTTTCTACTTTCTCTCTCAATCATCAGATCCAAGAAATCATTCAAATGATTTCTTTTTAACAGATAAATGCAGGTTTACGGCATTTTCTTCTTGTGAAGAAAGACTTGGTCCCTTCTTTTGTCCATCCCAGTGCACAAGTTGTCATGTTCTGGCACTGCAGTCACTTCTAAGTCCTTGAGCTATCATGTATTCTGTTGGTATTTGAGGAATTGAAAATCAATCACATAGCCTTATGGCTCAGGTTCAGCACAATTCTATTATGCTCACTCCCAAAAGTCAATTCAAACCTTTTGGGTTATATTTCAAAGCCTAATCAAGCTTGCTGTCCAGACTATTTTGGAGTCAACTCACTCTTGTCCATAGGTCTGTTTATTAGAGTTTTTCTGTCAGAAACTAGTGTGAAAGAAAGCAGTTTTCATAACAGTAGAATCATTCAGTGGGCATTTTTCAAAGACAAGCCACCCAAACAGATTTTATGGTACAGGAATGCTTACTGTTGTAATGTGTTTCTGCAAATATGTTTTTTAAAAAAAAATTAGATTAAAATGCTGTGTTGGCACAAGTGTTCATAACTGTACTTTCTCATAAAAAGATACAGCAGTTTGTCGAGATTGGTTTCTGGTCCTGGTTTGTTAAGCTGGCATAGAAATTATTGTAGATGCAACCCTAAACCTGGATGGCGACTTTCATGCTTTGGACCATGTGAACAAAGGAGGGTGGTGCCTCCAAGCTGATGGACCAACTCCTCCAAGCATGAGTTGTGCCACCTCCACTTGGCACATCCACATGGGACCGTGCACTGACTGTGTCAATCCCCTTACTTCCATCAAGTGACAAGAACTCACTCTGAGGATGAAAGGAGCTCTGTGTGGACGTGGCCATTAGCAAACCTCCGTGAAAATATGTATCTGTTATGCATCGGGGGCAAATCAGTGTCATCCCTCTGGGAAGAAAGCAGTGGCTGGCTCTTCGTGATGGCGTTTCTGGTCTCCTCGGTCTGTGTAAGGCTGATGGCCATTCTCTGGGAGCCAAGTAGGCAGTATAAATACAAAACAGCTCTCTCCTTCCGTTCCCCATGGGTGAAGGCATTGCTGTGTGACACGTTCTTTGTGCTTCTTCTCATCCTGTGTTCTGCAGAGGCGCAGAGATTTTCTCCAGTGGATGCTTGACTCCCGCGACTCAGCTGACTCCCTGGCAGCCGGGTGTTATGATGTGATGAGTCCATCTGCCTCTTCCAGACAGAACGAGCCGCTTCATGCTGGCAGGGCCCCATCTGAAAAGGTTCAGAAGACGTTAACAGAGGATGAGATAGCAGGCCAAGCTTTCCTGTTCCTGATCGCTGGGTACGAGACCACCACTAGCACGCTGTCCTTTGCCACGTACTTGCTAGCCACCAACCCAGACTGCCAGGAGAAGGTGCTTCAGGAGGTGGATGAATTCTCAGCAAAACACGTGAGTACAGTGTGCTGGTGTGGAGCTTCGGGCAGGGACCACAGCAACGTGAATGTTGCCTTGCCACTGTGGCACCTGCAGACTCCTATTTGTCTCAGTTATGTACACTTACATTAACATTTTGTTAAGATTTTCAGCCCAAAATCCAAAATTAATCTATATTGTTTAGGGGTTTTTTGGAAACTATTAAATAATGTCACTTTACAGCAACTGAAGAGGTGGCCCAGAAACTGTGTGTCATAATGAAAGCTTAACCTTTACAAAATATCTTGCATTATTGAAATAAACCAGTTGTGGCCGGCCTCTAAAACTACACATTTCTATTTTTTCCCCTCTTGTCTGGATCCTTTTACTGGTTTTGTGGTCAATTTTATTTACTGATCTTTGTAAGGACATAAGCAGCGTTCCTACAAACTATAAACCGCAAAGTTTTGCTTTAAATGGTCATACTTAATTTTTTTTTTTCAGCAGAGTGTATGTGTATGCTTCAAAAAAAATCACAGTAACTAATTCTCTTATACTGTGTTCACGTTACTTCTCCTTCACTGTCCATACTTACCAAGGGCATTTTTGTTTCCTGGATAACCGTCGACAGTATTTTGTGTGTCTGGCAGACCGTGCCTCAGCCATTCTTCCACCCTACACTCTGCACAAGTTGTTACGAGAATTCAGATTGAGGGTCTTTTTCTTTTCAGGAATGCTTTTATAATGGATCACAAGGCTAACAGGGATAAAATGACACTAGGCATGGCTGTCCTGCAGGATTTTTCGCTGCTGGATTTGCATGCTGAAAGCCTTAACTGTACAGTTTTGGGAGTTTCATACTTTTTATGCATTCCATCCTCTGTGTTGTACTTACAGAACAAGAAGAGAGTTGTATAATTTTCTGCTTTGCTGATAATAGAAAATTCTTGACTATGCAAAGTGTGCCCATTCAAAAGCTACCATTTCCCTCCTTTTACGTGTGCAAACATTAAAGCTGGGATTTGTGTACAGACAAAATGTCTTCTTTTCTCTTGCATGGTGTTTCTCTGTCTAAGGTTGCTTTTGCTGTGAGGTGCAGGTGGATGACAGCAGTGGAGGGTTAGGACTGCGCAATCTGATCCACAGAGCTTTTCCTCGGTGCATGATTCATACCTCTGGTGTGATTGAACTCAACCCAATGAACCTGTGGATGTGTTATGTTCTAACCTATAGGGCTTGGGTTATAGTCTTTGGTTATTGGCTCTACAACACTCCGGCTGGAGCATATTTACTTGTTTCATTCAAATACAGCAGACCTTAATTATGTCTTTGTGTCCAGTTAGTTCAACTGCCTTCCTTAAGGTCTGCAAAGATGTGAAGGTGCAACTTGGCCCAGAGTATTTGCAGTTTACTGGTTAATACTGGTGGCAGGTTTGCACATAGAAACCCCTATTTTTCAGCCCCAAGGAAAATGCAGTTCATTTTCTCACCAGTTCCTGAAAACTGACAGCCTAAGAAACCACAGTGAAACTGCTGGGAGAGGTATCCAGTGGGATAGGTATGCGATGTCATTCGTAACTGTCTGTAGATGGGGATGTGAATGAGTAAACTTTTCCATGTAAGCACACAGGAAGCTAATTGCAAGCAGTCACCTAGGGGGACCACGTATATGGCTACGTCTGCGTTAACAAGTAGCGTGCTTCCATAGACGCACATCTGTCGTCTAGCACAGTTGGTGGTGAGGACCGTTGGGTGTGCACTGTGCACTCCTCAGGAGTTTATTTTGGGTTAGTTTGAGTCTGGCCCTGTGTCCCAAATTCTCCTCAGCAGTTGGACCGGTCTTCTGGTTTAGTTCTGGTTAAAGGAGCCTTTGCTGTGCACTTGGGGACCGCCGTGTGAACCAGTGCAAGAGACTTGCATGTGAGTGTGCTCCTGATCCAAGCTAGAGAGCTAAATGGGCTCTACGTTGCATATGGTCCCTCTGAAATGTCACTCACTAGTGTATTTCAAAAACAATCCAATTCAAACACACAGTGCTTGACTCTCTTTGTTCTCTAACAGAAATGTTTTGCTAATAATTTCAGCATTTGCAGTATCCAGGAGAAGTGATGGAGCTAGGGACACTCATGGCAGAGAAGTTAAAACTTGGTGTAGAGAGATGGCACTCAAGATGAAATGGGTGATTTTTGCAGGTCAGCACTGTACACAGTCTCTGTGGTGCCTCAGCCCAAACTGGTGTCCTCATCCCAAACCATGCTGTCCCATGTCATATATTGATTGGAAGCACATTTCAAATCACTTCCCCATACTTCACTAGTTTTTGGGTTTAGCTTTAGATGATGCATATGTGGCTGTTTGGCCAAGGAGAAGCGGGAGAGAAGGGTAACTATTCATCTGCTGTCCTTGATACCCAGGAATTCAGAGATCTAATCTGTGCAGCCCCATCCTTCAAGAGTTTTCCTACTATAAACAGTTCATGATTCGGGGAGAGGAGCGGGCAATGCACTGCTCAAGGAGCCCATCCCAGAATAAGGAAAAGAGTGCAGCAGTTTGGTCCCCTTAGTAACTGTAATTAACTACTTTTAGCCTAGAAAATAAGATCTATGTGAGCAGTTTGCAAGTTACGGGAGCAGAAGCTATTTTAAACCTGGGAAAATATAGCTGCTGTGTTCAGTTGTCATGCAAAGGAGAGGAAGGGAGGGAGCATAGCAGCTACAGGCTCATGGCTAGTTATCAAGTCAGTTGCTAAGAAATTTGATTAGGTTGTTGCTTGTGCTCAGCACATCAGCTTTGCTCTTATCAAGGTGCTTTGAAATTTTCCAAAAGGAAGGGTTTTAGAAGGCCAAAACATGGGGAATGGCACAGCCAGGTTGTTTTGACAGGTGGTGGAAGACTGCTTTGATTTGCAGATATGCAAGTGTTAAACACAGTACCCTCTTCAGCCAAATTTTTATATATATATA